AGTTCGTTCTGAATTGTTGCGATTTGTGCGTAGAACACGAAAAGTGTATGCAAAACGGTTGTCAAGCGTTTAATTTTTGATTGTATATTTTTTATTGATCAATATTTCCTAAGGTGTTAGGTATTAACGTCATTAATTGTTGCTGAAGTACTGGCTTAGGGTATGGCTCTCCAAAACGAGGTATCCTGTGGTCGAACCCTCGGCCAATCCATTTGATTTGCTTCTGTGTGCGTTCGTGCGCAAGTTCGAAGTTGCCACAACTAAAGGAAAGGGATTGGATGTTGGGGCATACATGAAAAGTAGCTTAACATTAGACAGTACGACATACGACACTTGTCGGGCAGTTGGTGCCTCCGACTCCCCCCCCCCCCCCCCCCCTGCTCGGAACGAAGCTATCATTGACAGCCATCGAGTGTGACCCTCGATGGAGGCGATGAGGAGGGTCGGGTTTGAGGGATAGTGATGTAGATGGATTGGGGACTGACCCCGTCTTCATGCTCCCCTCTCGGTATTCAGAGTGCGCTGCATCAGAGGTAAGAACTCCTCCTTTCCCCTTTGCTGCATTTGGGATTCGATTTGATTTGGCTGAATGGATAGATTATGGTTTCCATATATGTGCGAAATTTGGGTTAGTTGGGGATTGTATCGAATAAGGCGGATCGAAAATACAGCAGTGCCATTATTGCCATCCTCAGTGATTAAAAGAGACTTTGTAAACGCACTTGTAGTGTATCTAATTAGATTTTGAGGAAACAATGAGCGGTTTTGACGGTTTTGAACGGTTTCAAGGTCTAAATGAAATGTTATTCATAGCTGTTGCCAATTGGATTTGAGTTTATCTGGCTGCTGAATGAGAGTGCAAAGTTTTTACTCAGCAACGACAAAAAGACAATGGGCAAACTTTGTTATTTCTGGTTTTTGTGCCACGGGAATTGTAAGGAAACCAAACGCGGGAAGCAAAAAGAAAGGTATTGGTCAAGCAACTAATAAAACTTTCTGTGGCATTCAAAAAGCGTATAGTAGTGAATCCTGTTTTCACCTGGTTACCAAAAAAAAAAGAGCGAGTGTAGCATGCAAAAGCTGCAAAAACACACTATATAAATATTTTAAAAGTTGAAAAATGCAACTATGGCACTGGGACAACAAGAACAAATATAAATGGCAAGGTAAACTGAAAAATAATACAAACTAATTGCCATCCAAATAAAGTTTACCCAACGAAAAACTGCTATAGTGTATAAAACATTTTTTGCTCAGCCACTTTTCTTCGATTTCGTTTAAACTTTTCCAACGGCTTCTGGAAAAAACATTAACGAACTTTCCGCAAATTGTGCGAATTTTTTGTTCGTCGACCAATTTCTGTTGAGCAATCCCGAACTCAATTTTGGTTGGGATTAACGTGAAGTGCTATAAAACTGGAAACAGTTAAGCTTCCAAAAGTCCCACCATAGATTTGCCCAGCCTGAAGATCAGAATGGTAGTCTGGAAAGAGAGAATTACAATTTGACGATAAGTTCGCGTCTCGAGTAATGGGGATATCTTCCGAAACCGACTAGTCAGATACATAGTCTGCAATACTAGTCTGTACATATATATACGGGTTTTATATATCATTCCTATTCATATATATATCAGGCTTATGCCTCTGCATGGCACGTTTCCAAAAGTGTTCTGTGTGTTTCAGGCACTAATTATATAAGTCGTAACAGACCACTATATCATATAGCTGACATGGAAATAATAAAACAAAAAATGTACTTCATTTTTTATCATAATAATATGTTTGGCATAAACTACTCCTCCGGCAACATAAAGCTTCGGTATTAATTTGATTAAAGTCAGTGGAAAACTGAATTGAAAAATATGACCATCTTGACCATAAAGTGCCCTTATTCGGCCTTATTTGCTTTATAAATACTGCAAGGGGATACAAGCTCCGGGTTGGCGAATTTAACTTCCTTTTTGTTTTGGGTTGTAGTCATTATTTTAATGGATTTGGGCTAATCAACATGCCGTTATTCCTTGCACTTCTTATAAATATTAAAATGGAATGTTATTACATCTAGTGAACTTGAAATTTTATTATAAGAAAACACTTATCATCAACCAAAAGTGCTCTGTAGTTTCCGTGCAAATCTGGATCACCTTGAATTAAGTTGTTTGCTACCCCTTTGGAAATACTTTTATTAGCGTATAAGGCAATTTCCAGCAGATTTCGCAACATAAATTATCAACTTGTCAGGACTTCGGGTAACGGCAGGACGTTCAGGACGTTCAGCTCGCCAGCCATTTGCTTTTGGCCTCACGCCCATCAAAGGGTCGAAGGAGGCGCCACGCCCCTGGCTTGTGACCTTTTTGGCAGCATTAAAAGTGATAATTTTCACTCACACACAGAGGGAAACACGATGAGGGGAGCCACTTGGAGGACTTTTATTATTTAATTTTGCCGTGCTGGGCTAATAAATTAAACACAGCTTGACTAACGCCCACCATCTTGGTTTCTGATTTTAAGTGAAACGGACGAGGAACAACACGTACGACCAATGTGTGCATAAAGTATCTCAAAAGCTGAATTACGAAAATGAAACTTTTTCCAAGGGGATTAAATGCCATGACTCGCCTTTTCGCACCATTGCTTTGCGACTTTCAATTGGATTTTGTCAGGGGTAATCAAAATCAGACAAATCAGCCAAAAAAGGAGAGAAGGCAAAAGCTAAGCTAGTTTCAAATTGTTTTGATTCAATTATAACGTTAGGCGTATATGTATGTGCTTCGAGGAAGAGTGCGGTTTTCTTTCTATTTTGAAAATTAAAGACACTGATGGAGAAATGGCGAACTCACTTACGCCCGCCAAATTTACATAATAAATCTATTTTCAATGGATTTTGCGTTCTTATCCATCTCGTTTTCGCTTTCGTTAAGGAAACTTATCTCCAGCGAGCTCCTCTGCGCATTCTATTTTGCTATCAATGGAACCATTATTGTACTTCAGTCTGCACCCACCCAACTATCCCCCCGCAGTCTGTATTTTTCCTTTATCCTTGCGGATGCAGCGCTGCGAATATTTGGTTAAGCGCTGTAGATGTGTGGACCCAGTATCTGTGTGAGCGCCAGAGCCATATTTGTTTCGCATAAAGATGTGGGAACTATCTGTATCTCAATAAGCGAGTGTTGGCGCTCGTGTGTGCAGATGCTTAACGCTTCAATGGCAACTTAAAGCTCACATGCCTCCATTACTTAACACTATGGCTCGGCTTGGCAATTTAAATGATTGTCATTGGGATCCGTAAGAAAGCGAATTTGAAATACAAAAACTAGTTCAAAATGGAAATGTATTTTTATCAAGTGCCACATGAATTCTAACGAATAACTCTTACCTGTTTAGCTGCGTTTCGTATTAAAACACCTCAGTCGTAATTTTTATAATTTTTGCAACTTTATTATTATTTAAATTTTTATTTCATCTTAGTGCCTGCCAGTTGTTTTGCTGCACATTTTGGTTATAAACCATTAAACTAATTTTGCTTCTCTTCTCCCATGGGCTTTTTAATTTTATGTGTTTCTGGCTTTTCTATACTTCGATTAGTCCGAATTTGTTAATGCTAATTCCCTTTCGCACAATCGTTACACATTTTCTAACGCAATAGATTTCATGAGATTTGGTTTTAGTAGTATCCTTTTGTTTTGCCAGTTATGCAGCACTCTATATATTATTTATATATATATTTGTTGTATTATTTTGCTAATTATTCTAAGTTTACACCATTACATTAATATATAGATTTTATTTTAGATGTATGTATATGCATACAGAAGCTATAAACTTATACATTCTCAATCGGGCTGTAAATGGTTTCCATTTTTCGTTATAGTTTGCTTTCCGCTTTGGTTTTCACTGCCGCTAAATATGTTTATATAATTTACAAGTATTTTAATAAGCGCCGTAAATTGTTTGCCATTTTCGTGCTGTTCCACTTTAATGAGCTGTTCCATTGCTTAATTTCCCAACCTGTTTTTCTCGGGTATCATTTCCATTTTAGTTACAATTTTGGGCAATTGTTTGTAAGTAGTTATTATTCGGAACGAAAAAAAACAAGTGGATACAAAAACTAAAAGTAATGAATATCTGTTATGTTTTCAATGCGCATTTCAATTGCCCCGCTTAACTCCTAATGGAATTTTTAACTATTCTCGCAGCTGGAAATTTGTATAGCTATATAGAGGAAATTATTGTTTTTTATTTTGTGTGGGCTTATGTACGCATTTAATTTTAATAGCTATATAAATATTTATTTAGTTACATAACAAAGTACCTGCATGCTTACAATTAACAGTTTAATTTAATTTTGCCTTTGTTTCGTTTGTTTTCTGTCGACCAAAGCTTAGTTCAGTTTTAGTATGAGTTTAGTTTACGTCTATTGTTTTTTCGGGGTAGTTGTACAGCTTTATTTTACAAATCTTCTGCCACAACTTAAAGGAGCAGCTCCCTTTCACCTGTACATGATTTCATTTCATGGTTGCCATTTTCCTTGGACTTGGGTTACTTCATTTGGTTTTCGGTTTGGTTAAAAACTGCGTTCTCATTTTAATACCTCTGAAAACTAAAATATTTATATGGGAGCGTTTGTTTGTACGTATAGAGTAGTACTTTTAATTCTGCAACTAGTTTTATTTACACACAATACACAATTATAATTCAGTCTTTGGAAGAATAACATTCATGTTCTTTTTTATTTTTGCATTCAGAATACTCTTAGTTTTTCCTATTTTATTCTACCATAATTTTTTATACTAACGTCAACAGAAGGAAGAGAAGGAAACTTGTCTGTAACTTGGAATCGTATAGTTTTGATTGGTCCTAATTAGTTGCTAAACACATATTGACTTGGAAAATACTACTTGAAATATAAGTGAGATAGATATTTTTGCAAACTAAAGCGTCCAGAAATATAATTTTAAAGACCAATATTAAGTAAAAAATACATAATATAATACGGATAAATTAAACTACAGGAAACTGTAACTATAAATTAGTGCAAACTACTTGCTATGTTTTAGAAAATAATCACTGAAACGATTTGGTGAACACTTTGCAGCTTAGTTGAAATTCCAAGTTAACTTTCCTTGATAAAGAGTTCGACAACAATCTACACTTGGTTAACTATTTACAGGGTAATTTTTAAAACCAACTAGCAACAAAGTTGAGCGGAGAGAAGCGTCTGTGCGCATTGGATAGACACAGCTCTTACTCCTGACACACACTTACACACTTACGGGCTACCATATACCCTATGTACTTTATATGTAGAGACAGCTGAAACGCATTGGGAAAGGAGTTCGGGTCGAAGGGCTGAGGAGGCTGTGCGTTTAGAGGTCACATTTAAAACGCACGGTCAATTAATGTCACACACGCAGCTCGTCCATCAGCGGATGTTGTTGCTGTTGCTGCTGCTGCTGATGCTGATGCTGCTGGTGCTGCGTGGTGGAGGCCACAATCACCGGCACAGTGGGTGGCGCGGGCACCACCAATCCACCGGTCGTGGTCAGCACAGTGGTCATGCTTTGATTATGATGATTCTGCAAGTGTTGCTGATGGGTGACCACATGTTGCTGCTGCTGCTGCTGTTGCTGCTGCTGCTGCTGCTGGGCGGGCGAGTGCTGCTGGGCCTGGGCCTGGGCCTGGGTTTGCTTCATGCAGCTCTTCTTGGTCAGTGTGCCGCACTGATTGCCCATCACCTGGAGGGCGTGTGGCGGCGGCATTTGCACCACACCGGAAACACCCACCGCCCCGCTGACCGAGCCCCCGCCCCCCGGATCCTGCAGGGACTTCATGTGCTTCGGAGGCGGCGGCGCTCGGTGGGGTATGTCTGCGAATTCCGGCGGCGGCAGCTGGTGGTGCTGCATGGCATGGTGGTGCGACAGTATTGTGGCGGGATCGCTCTTCGCGTGGATGGTCAGAGTTTCCAGGTCCCCGCATATGTTATTCGGCATTTGTCCGTTTTCCTGCCTCTTCAGCTTGGTCTGCGGCCTGGGTTCGCTTAGTCGTGTCTTGTCCCTTTGGTAGTAGACTCCCGCGAAGATCAGCACATTTAGGATCAGAAGCGAGCAGCCTATGGCGATAGTCACACTCAAGGCCGTGGAGTAGGCCGCAAACCCATCGTTATCCTGCGAGGCACTAGCCGCCCCACTTGCCGGATCCCCGTCCATCATGTCGTCCGGATATATCTTACCGCCCCCGTAGCGAGTCCCGTTCCTCTGCAGCGACGAGGACGGCGAACTGAGATTGAGCAGCGAGAACACCTGGTTGGTGAAAATCGTAAAGTTGGCCATGGCCGCCGCATTCGCCGCCCGTGAAATGTACGGCGGATTGAGCGGCTTCACGGAGGCGTCGCTGGCTATGTTGTTGTCCTCGTCGTCATCGTCGTGCAGCTGGTGGTGTGCGGCGGGCACATTGTCGCCGCCTGGCTTATGCAGATCCGGGATGAGATTCAGCCAGAAGGACAGGCGGTGCGCTCTATAGTGGTTTTTGAGCTTGGGCTTGGTGTCTATAGGAAGCATTTGAGAGGCAAAGTGAAAGGCAAATGTATCATCAGGGTTTCATAACATTAATGAGCGACACTCGATTGAAAATGCATTAGGCTTAGACAGGCTGCATTGCACACTCACCGAAATTGAGGTATTTCTTGTGCACACTTTCGTAGGCTGTCCACTCGATTGTCTTATAGCGACTCCGTTCCTGGCGACTCCCATGCTCCGCTTCCATTTGCTCATTTGGATTGCTGCGAATGGGGAGTATGTGTGTTTAGTACCGGTAATGGATGCATAGTGCCGGCATAAATTTGAATTGAGTTAGGCACACGGAGAGAATATACGTCTAGTTAGCACAATGGCTCAGTATCAAGGGGAGCAAAATATTTCTCAGTGTGCGTGCCCGCAGCATTCAGAACTGCACTTACCCCGTGCGCACAAAGTTCGACCAGTAGAACATCACAACTTCCGATAGACTGATTTCGGTTTTGGTGTAGTTGCGCGTGAAGTGATTAAAACCGCCGACGAGCGGGGCGCCGAAGATGTAGGGCAGGTCCTCGCCGTGAATGCAGCCCTGGCGCTGGAAAATGGCGGAAAAGCGGAAACCAAGTTAAGTGCCACCCACCACACTTGACCCTGATCTTACTAGGGCTGCTGCATCTGACTAATTGGAATATTTGGAATGTGTAAGAGGAATCTCTAAGGGATCTTAAAACTATGCTGTACAAACTAATTTGTTGCACATAAGAGCGAGCTCTTAAAGAGCGCCTGCATTTTTTAAAGTAACTTAGTGATATTATAGATAGTCTGCATTGAACTTGAACTCACCTGAGGATAATCACCGAACCGCGTCTGGTAGTCGAACACGTACAAGTACGAGTTTCGATGGTCCGCCGAATGCAAATCCACGGTTTGAGCCGCCGGAGCCACCACCTGAGCATCGCTGAGCGCCTCCAGTGTTTCGTCGCTGCGGAAAATGCGGAAATGCGGAAATGCGGGCAAAAGCCCAACATTAAAATCAAATAACAATTTTTCAATATTTGCCCGCCGGCGCGCTTCAGCTCGTTTCCAATTTTCCGGCTATTTTGCCATTGCTCTTCGCCCATCGAGCTGTGTTCAAGTGCGCAACTAACAAGCCACTTTGAGTGCTGCCACTTTAGTTGATGTGGCTCGTATTTACCTGTTTACCGAGTGGAGCCCTCAACGCTGGCCTAAGCCTATTTCGGTTTAAGTTTTTTGCACCCGTCCGATTTGCGCATTTGCCTTATTTTTGTCTGTCTGCCCTTTGCGCTTTTTTAGTTTGTTTAGTTTTCTAGCAGTCGAAATGCAGCAACGGAAAATTTGAATAAAACCCATTTGGCGCATTTGCATGCATATCTTTTCGCTGCAGGAAAGATGCAGCCACCAGGAGCTATTTGTGTCCCTCGCTCTTTATTATTTGGCATGTCCTTGCACATTTCGTTCTTTAATGCTCGACACTATGTGCGCTAATAAATAATGCTTTAAGTGAACTGCCTACAAAACCGGGAAACTGCATTATTAACAAGTTATCTGTGAGCTAAGACCCTTGGCCCACATTAGCGATCAATATTGAATATCAAATCAACTGCTACATGTCCTTACTTTGCTGTTTTCTGACAGCTTCTTGATTGTTGTGAAACTTGGTTATACGAAAGTAGTTCGAAAAGTAGTTTCTTTAGTTGTGCTAGGTATTATTCACTTCAATTAGAGTTGTTGTGGCAGCCGTATACGTCGTCAGAACAGAATGGCAAATCCATATCTTGTACTGCTGGCACTCGAACGGAGTGACACCTTGCCACCTGCCACCTGCCACCTGCATTGCCACCCCCGGCACCGCTGATCAATGCCCCAGGGAAGTGCGGCCTTGGCGGAGCTGGAGCGTGAAACGCTTGCCTCATCGTGCTCCATTGCAGGCCACTTAACGCACGTCCGCACAACTCGGGAAATGCTTGGCAGCGGGCTGTGAAAGGCGGTATTAAGTATACGCCGGGTGTTGCAGGGGGGAATCAATTTGTTTGGCGTATTTCTTTGGAAATATTGAAATGTAATTCCGCATAAATTATGCAAACACAAATAAATTGTTTGAGGAAATCGAAACGAGAGTCGAAATATACATTGGACATGATATGAATGCATTCTGCGCTGTCACTGTGACCTAGTCGCAAACATAAATATTGATTGAAATCGAAAAATGAAAAGCAAATCATATATTTGATTGGGCGTGTGTGCTGGCAATTTCCGTGCCACTTATGCGACAAACTTATGCGTTTGCCGACAAATTGCAGCCAAACATTATTTATGAAGACCGGCAGGCAGGATGGACAAAAATTTGCATTTCATTTGCCACAAGACTGAAATCAAGATTCATTTAAGCCCCTTTAATTGAAACCTGCTTGGCAAGCGAGCGCCGGAGCAGCAGATCGGGCATGTCACTGCGTATTTAATTAAGAACGAAATATTTATTTGGCACACACCAGCCACCTGGCTGCTTGAAATCCCGAAATCCCCGCCTTCACCCTTCACCCTTCCGCCCGTCTGGAGTCTGGAGTCTGGAGTTCGAGGGTTCCAGGGTTCCAGGGGCTCGGGTTCGCATACAAACGCAATTACTCACCGGATATTAATTGGATGCTGCACGGGCCTCTCCCAATCCGTATACTCATTGACAATCGTGGCGAATATCTCGTTCAAATGGAACGTGTACGTGTTCCGTACGTAGGCCTTTAAAATTCTCGACCGTCGATCCGCCTCGATTCCATATTGCACGTCGCCCGAATTGAAGCTGAAAAAGGCCTCGGCACGTGTCACGCCGGCCATCAGGTCGTATCTGGGAAAATGCGATTGAGAAAGAGGAGTCAAATTGTGCACTCGAAGAAGGTCTCAAGGAGTTCGGTTAATCCTTACGAATAAGATGGACATTTCCGTCAGGTTATTGGGGTGCCACGCTCAGTTTGTAGACGATTGCATGAACTAAACTAAGCCCTTCTTGCCTGGACAAGTATTTTTTTGTGTAGCGATATTGTTGTGTAAGTGGGGATTCCAAATTTGATAAGCCATTGCAAGGAGGAGGTTCCTGCGATAAGTGGTCTCCCACGAATTAAGAAGTCAACCAAGGGCACTGGTCAAGTTCTCTGTCGGACCTAAGTTATGCTTTGTAATTACGAATTTGCAACCAACAAATTGCATTCCTCAAGCATCAATTCGCATTTATCTCTCTGCCACAATAATTTGGCCCGAAAACTTGAGATCCATTCATTTGTTAAGCAACTTGGAGCACGCCCTTGCAGCTAACCGCACTCTTGATAGATATAAAACTTTGAAGCAGCTCTTGGCCAAAAGCAGCTGGGCAAGTACATGCGGATACTGGCATATCTGGCAGCATTTGCAATTTTAAATGTATTTTTGCCCTATTTGTTTACGCAGAGCGTACGATGGACTTAGGCGAAAGGAGAGTTAGGTCGGTTGAAAGGTTTGCGCTTTATATTTGGCAAATTTTATTTGCTCTTTGTGCATGTGTTTAATGGAATTCCTTTGGATATTCGGCGTGCGTGTGTGCTCGGCAAATTGCTTTTAAATGTGCACAAAGAAATATTTATACTCCTTTGGCAGGACGAGCGACTAATAGCCCCCAGGACATTGACAGTTTACAAAGCGCACAGAGATAAATTCATGTTAGACCGACCCACAATGCAACGCTGCACTCGAGTTGCAGCTCAAAGCCAGGACTCCAAAGTGCTCCAGTTTTCAACGCAAAAAGAGTTCTCATTAACTATTGACTGTGCGTTTGATTGGCTGGCAGTCCAATTCCCTGTTAATTATCTATTCAATTGCAGTTGGCAGCGCTGCTTGACTTGCAATGCAGCTGGCCAGCGATTGCAAATACTATATGCACATAAGTTGTTACCCTGAATATGGGATTGTAGACTCCAATGATATTATTTTCAAAAATATTTCCATTTGACTCTCTTAAAAACTCAATAGTTCAATTACTGTTTCATTACTTATTTACTCTTCGGGCTGTTCCCTTCCACTTATTAACGTAAATGTAGTATTTTCAGTTTTTAATCTAAAGTAAGATTTCCTTTGGCAACCACCCTGTAAGTAAGTAGCTTACACCACTTGGCTAACAGCAGCCGCACATCAATTATGGAATCGCAGCTAATTAGCTGTTAATAATATATATTAACATTGTAAAATGGCTCAGACATAAAGTGCATAAATCAAGTGGCCCACACCACTGGCTACAGAAACCTACAAAAGCCACAAAGGCCAGCAGCGAGTTGAGCATTACGAAAGGAAGCCCCACATTTGCGTGCCTAATGTGCATAAATTAATTATATGCAAGTGAGCCCCAAGCAGGTTTGTGGCCAAATCTTATCGCTTACTAAACTAACGGCTCGTGCCGTGCAGAGGTCAAGATAAAGCTCCTTTGACACCCAACAAAGCAAACTCAACACAAGCTGGCCAAAAGAAGTCGAAACTTTGGATTAATTATAGTCATACTCTGTTTACTCGAGTCATGCACTGCAAAATGCACTGAAAACCAGCACGCCTTACTTAGTGTAAGCATTTATCATAAGAAGTGTATAAAACGAATTTGCATATGCCATTTTCATATTTAGATACAAAGATATGCGTTACAAATACGCTGAAATAGCGACACAATGCAAGGTTGAGTGTTTTTGCTTTGTGTAATCACACCATATGCACGTGTTTGTGTGGGGGCAGGAGTTCAGGTAAAAATAATTAAGCATTTGCTGGTCTGGCCCAACTTACCTTGACAACTTGTTAATGGCAGTTTTTCTCATTAATACTGCATTAATTAAAAAGTCCGCCGCGCGTTGGGGAAGCGTGAGTGTTGTTGGGCATTCGTGCAACCATATGTGTGAGGAAACATCATGTTCATCATCGTTAAGATCATCATCGTCATCATCATCATCAGGAAAAGCCGTTGGAGTCGTGTTGGGATGAAAGGTGGAGAGGGCAAGCCATCGCATTATAATTTATTTTAATTATGCAAAGGAAATGAAAGTAATTTGCGAGTTAACGAAAACCGCGTTCAGATGCACTAATACAAAATGTAATGAATTTAATTAACCCTTTTCGTTTTATACCCTAATTAAATGAAGCAGAGGGCATTTTCTATGAATACTTTGTACAAAACCTAATTTTGTTATAATGGTAGCACATAGAGTTAATTATTTCAGCGTTCTAGGTTTATGAAAACTAAACAAGAAAAGTCTTACTATGTTATAGTTTAAATATGCCTTGGATTTCACCAATGCTGAAGCACGGAATATAAATGATACATTTTAATCTAATGGCACACAGTCGAAAAAACAATATTTAATAGCACCACAATGCTGGGTGTCAAACCCACCGATATTCTCGAGTTGTCCCGGTGTTCCCCAGCCGCCCGCAGCTGCGATTCCCGCCTCCCCGCCCAATCCGTTGCCGGCGGCCGTGGAAGCTTGAGCCTGAGCCTGGGCCGCCGGAGATCCGGGAGCGGGGGGCACGTAGTCGCCGCCGTCGATGACCACGCCGTCGATGCTGGGCCCAAAGGCGAAGCCGAACTCCGGCGGACGAATGGGCACGCTGAGCAGCTGCTCCAGGGTCTTCTCGCGCAGGCACTTCATGAGGTGGGCGTGCGGGAGGTCGGAGGCGCAGTTCACGTGGTGGGCCACGATGGCGGCGTACTTGGCCGGGTTACTGACCAGGGACCAGGGGGCCAGCCCTGAGCCGGACATCAAGATGGCTCGGTTGAAGAGCAGGCCTAGGAAAGGGGCAGAAAGCAGGGAACACTATTTACTTGACCAGTATTTTGTAGTTTTTGGTTAGTTGTAATGAATGTACATAAAATAGGTGTTTTAAACAGTAGATATCTTTATTTTAATAAATATTAATTTTTCATTTATAGGATATAATATATGTATTATATTTATATTATAGTAACAGCGGCTTTGTGGAGAAGTTAAAAACATCGCACCAATAACTCTTTCAAAGTGAAATGGAAAACCTACTACTTTTCCATTTATATTTATATTATATTTATATTATAGTAACAGCGACAGCGCACCAATAACTCTTTCAAAGTGAAATGGTTAAACCTACTACTTTCCTTTTTATATTTATATTATAGTAACAGCGGCTTTGTGGAGAAGTTAAGGACACCGCATCAATAACTCTTGCAAAGTGAAATGGAAAAACCTACTACTTTTCTATTTATAATTATATTCCATGTTATATTTATATTATAGTAACAGCGACTTTGTGGGTAAGTTAAAGACACCGCACCAATAACCCTTTCAAAGTGAAATGGAAAACCTACTACTTTTCCGAGTGACAAATGAATGGGGCCTGCCACATGTACGCATGCTGCTGCGGTCAGTTTGATATTGGAGCAGTACTCACCCTCCGGCACGGCCATCGACGAGATGAGGAAGTGGACGCAGGCGGCTCCCGTTCCGTGTCCTGCGAGGGTGATGCTGTTGGGATCCCCGCCGAAGGCCGCGATGTTCTCCTTGAGCCAGTGCAGCGCCGCAATGATGTCCATCAGGCCGTAATTGGCCGGCAGCTTGGAGTAGCGGTCCGTGTTGGCATTCAGAAAGCCTGCAAGTAGTGGCCGGGGTTTCCCGCACTTAATCAGCAGTTTTCCTTGCCGCCTGATTGGCTCGCGAATGGAAATTTAATCGATTCGCCGCGTACTCGTGCAGTCAGTCGTCGGTCGCTTTGCCTATTTAAAATGTCAAACGCCACTCTTTTTTCCCGCTCTCCCGGGCGCGGAAAATGTGCAAAGTCACGCGTGCAAATCATGATGTCAGCACTTCCGTTTCCTCTGCAACAACAGAGGCGGCGGCAGCAGCGGCAGCAGCAGCAGCAGAGGGGCGGCCGAAAGGCTGAAGGAAATGGGGTTGGCGCCAAATGAGGTCACACTTATTTCGTCTGTGCATTTGAATTTACACGGGGTATCGGGCACAGTGGTGAAATTAGCTACCGGAAACTAAATAATACTCGTACTTTTTTTGCCAATTTAAATTTATAAGCAACAGCAGTGATCAATCCTTTTATCGAACAAGTCGCAGAACTAAATGGAGAGTCTCTTGGCAGCGCTTGATAACCTGAATTGTGTCCTTTCAAATTCATTTATTTTGAAAGCTATAGCACAATATGCAAACTGTTACCTTTCAAGTTAACACCCACTGTGCCGCTGGCGATTTGAGCCAGACTGCAGCTAAATTAGTTGGATTATGGAATAAATGTACGCCTGGTAGCTGCTGCAGCTGCAGCTGCTGCAGCGGAAGTGCAGTTGATGTTGCAGCTGGGAGAGAAGGTTGCAAGGAGGCTGAAAGGCTGGGGAGAGGGTCGTTGGTCGTTGGATTGGCCCACGTTCGCTTCATTGCACTGACCTCACTCGCCTGTCCGTCCGGCTGTCCCTCGTCCTTTTGGTCATGCACTCCGCATATCAATTAGCATTAGGATTTGAGTGTGCAGAGCACTTACCCAGCACTCCGAGGCGATAATTTATGGTTACCACCAATATTTGTCCATAGCTGGCCAGCACGGATCCGTCGTAGGGATTGCCGCTGTTCCATTCATATGACTCGCCGTGCACGAAGACCAGCACCGGATACTTGGCGGGACTTCCACTTCCAGCCGACGAGGAGGACGACGAAGACGACGAGGAGGATGAGCTGGAGCCTCCACTTCCCGATGACGAGGAGGTCGAGGACCCGGCAGACGAAGACGAAGAACTGCCCGAGGAGTCACGCGATCCAACTGTAAAGTACAGAGAAATCAAATTATTGAAAATTTTATTTTGTTTTTAAAAAGTTAAAAAAATTAAATAAACTCCTGAAGCTTATCGACAAAAATAGGATCAAAATAGGACGGGAAATAGGATCACGTGTAATGTTATATTTCAGTTTTCATTGCAGATTTTTCACAGTGCATTGACATGAAAAAGTAATGTTAATTAACGCCATTTCAATTGAAGGAAACGACGGAGATAAATTTTATAATGGGAAAGCTGAAATTGATTGTCTTTCCGGTGGAAATCCGGCAGAAATATTTCAAGTTTCCAATGAGGGAAATAATTGCGGTAGCAGAGATTCACGGTCTTCGTCCTTAAACCGCTGGCCCAGAAGCCAAAACCATTAATCAGCTCTGCCTACGAAAATAGGTAAACAAGGCATTAAATCAGGCTCGATTCAGAGACAAATGAGCGTCTAAGCCCTGAAAATAGCCAAATAAGACGCAAACAACTCTTTTTCCCGCTTGGCTTCTGCGACGAAAGCCCCAAGTCATCGAAGGCTCTCCAGGTCTAGTGGATCCTAATCGGAACGGACACGTTTTGGAGCTTAGGATATTTACGTATCGAAAGGTTTTTTCCTCAGAAAGAAAAAGTATGGCAGTGAATTGATCCCTCTTTGCTGACGTGTGTGTAAGTAATCCTCAAATAGGTGTGAGCCTTTGAAGTGGCACATTTGGGGATTAAGGCTTAAACACCTTCTTCCCATTTGACAGTACTTCTTTTTGCATTTTTGTCATTGCTTGTTATGATAGAATATAAATAACGTTAGGCCGACAACGTCAAATGCTCAGAAAATAATTAAGAGTCACTAAAAATGAAACAATGCAAGACAACAAGTAACTTTAGAAACGTTTATTATTTATTTGACATGTTACATCTTTGGGCTTTCCCAAAATTGAAAGGATTTTACTTACGGAGTATCAGTTCTGCCTTCTCCCTGATATTTTTATACAACCAAATTGAAGGAGAACTGATGTTATTGAAGTTTAATCTGTAACTTGAATGCTGAAGAAGTAAGGCGTCACTTTAAGGTTAGCTTCAAGTAAAACTAAACCCACTTTGGAGCAGAGAACACGAAATCGCTCGCAAAATGCAAACATAAATTTATCTTTGGAAAAGAAGGAAGCGAGGAGGAAAGCACAGTTTGTGCAGCTGCATCTTTGGTAGATACATATCGCATGTATCTGAGTACACGCTGTATCTGAGCTAGTCAACATCGGGCAGAGTCGCCCCCGTCGCCACCCACCGAACAAAAGCCCCAACAACAAGGATAACAAAAGCAATATGAGCACGGGTTTCTCGCCTGCTGCCCACATAGAAAGTTCCTCGCTGGAACAAAAGAACCTGCTTATCAAAGCGGAAAAAGAGTTGAGGAGGCGTTGGGTGGGGGCTTGGGCTTGGGCTTGGGCTTGGTATATGGATGTTATGGGGGTTTGGCTACCAAGAGTTGGAAGAAGTGGCGAAACGAGCACCACATAAAGGCCAAAGGAGGAAAGCAAGTTACTGTGTCAGTGACTTTTATAAATAGCGCGAACAAAGACTGACTCGTGGCACGTGTGTGGACCTCGTGCAAGGAATTGAGGGGATCCACATCACATGTATACATATATAGATAGATACCTATTGAGACCTGGCCAAAACCTACTGCGAAACAGTCCTTGTGTGTTAACGTGCCACGAAATGGAAACCAAAGTCAATATGTGTGAAAAATTGTCTCGCCTTGATGTCATGCGGTGTCACAATTCTCACATTTCCAGCTAATTCAATGATTTCTCCGAAATACCAAGAGCGCTTGCTATTTTCAATGACTTTTAAATTGTGATTCATGTCAGTTCCGACAATAAACGTTCTAAGTTCTATGGCCTATTACGATGACGTCCGTCATTTTCTCTCCTAAACATTACAACTGGAATTAGCTCAGAGCACACCAAGAACTCGTTTATTTGTACAAAATATATTTTATATATATTTAATATATTTAAATTCAAGAGAGGTAACTCCAATAAGGCAACTGTCACATTGATTCGTTCAATTAAATTTAAACACACTTTCTTAAGCACTTGCAAATCTTTCAAAGTACATCGTACTTGAGCGTTTAGAAAATTGCCAACTCGGAATGTAGAATTTTATTTCAGCAAATTACGCCGTAAAATTAATACAAATTTCTATATTAGTTCTATGGAACTTTTTAAATGTAACAAGCTGTAAATTCCTTGAAGACCGCAAAAATTCAAAGCCCCCAGTCATTACAGTAATTTGAGGCCAGAAAGGTTCTGCCCAAAACGAGGGGTGAAGGCTGAAGGGTGAAGGGGAAGCCACGTAACATGCAAACAGCATTTAAAACTTGTCTCCAAAACTTCCGACCACCCGCACAAAAACCCGGCCAGAAAACTTTTGTTGTCATTTCAACAAAAATGGCGACGTTTTCTGCAAGTTGTAGGCCCCGGGGGATGCTACTTACAACAACCAGAGAGAAAGGAATTAAACTTTTATGGCTGCCCTCGAGAAGAAGTCAGCACACACGTAGTGCACTGAGAAAAGCAAACCAGAGTTTAGAAAGTGGTTCCTTATAAGCAGTGCTAAGAGCTAACAGCATTTAATTCGAAAGAACTGTGTTTCTCAAACTTTGAATAGAACGTAATGGATCGAAAGCCTAAACATATATCACATTTTACAGTCAGCCAAGGCAAGAGTTTCATATAAGCCATGCATTAACTTTTCTTGGACATTTATTTTATTTTATTATTTTTGTTTCGTGCCAAATTAAATCTAATTAAAAAGACCTTTAGTCACTGTGCACCATCATATCGCAGTCAGACATAAGTTTAGCAGGAACCGCCTACAACGCACGCCTTAAAAAAGTTGTACAATAGTTTTGCCGGGTGCTTGGCAAAAACTTTGCTCCGCATAATTCCGGCAAATGTAAATATTTTGTAGGAACGCGTCTACAAATGTGTGTTGCCGGAAAACTAATGCGACTTTCGGGGCCCACTGTCGGGCTTGTTAATAAGTTGAACATGTTTTAATTTACATGCTCACGCTGAGCTCGGTTGCCATTCAGTCAGTCCCACTTATTTGCAACCCGAAAATCACAACTTGGAAGTCAGCTTTTCAGGCAGTCTCGACTGAAAGTTGCCGCTGGGAGTTGCCGTCTTTCGGAGCAGTGTTATTTTGACTGGCATAAATCTAATCAAATTTGTGGCGTGTTCCAAATGTGCGCTTTTCCCTTTAATAGCAGTCATATTGCTCCAACTCTCGAAAAAATGTTGACAGTGTCTGAATAAATGAAACTATGTGATTGACTCAGCCAAATCAGCACTCACATACATAAGCCAGCTGGCGAAGAGATAAAAGCGTTTGGCAGGATTACATTTTTGACTGTTAAATAAAGTATTATACCATTTGTTCATTTGCAAATTCGACTGCCATTTTTGTTAAATTAAATGTGGCAACTTGATATAGGAACTGGAATCTGCTTCATACTTGTCTCTACTTCTTAATTTAGAGCTAAGATATATTTTAAATTTGTTTATTATTTTGTAAAGGTTTTCCTATCCCTATTGTGTGGCGAAGTTTTCTTTCACATTTCCCGCAAGCAAAGTTTAGTTGACACACCGAAAATGTAGAACAATTTGTTGATAATAAAGTTGCTGCTATCGAAATTCATTCTCAAGTGTGCGCACACAATATTGAATTGCTTGTTTTATGGCACACATTTTCACACCCAAAACAAAATCAATGAACAAAAAAGTTGCAAGCCAGGAGCATAAGGCGGAGGGAAACTGTGTCTGAAAACAGCCTTCGGGCAACCAAAAACTAGGTGAAATCAATATCCTCAACTCATTTTACTTGGCCTGCTGGCAGCCGCATTGTCGTAGTTTCTAGACTTTTCCCAACCTTAGAGAAAGCCTTTCATTTCCTGCTCCCAAACAATGCTACTTGGGTTCGATGGAAGATGCTGCAGAAATCTAGTTCATTTCAGTACATCGAGGTTCTAGCGAGAAAATTTCATTTCGTTGAGCTTCAAGTTTAGTGTCGTCCATTGTTGTACACCAAGTGCATTCATTCAAGTACGGCAAATTCTGGTCAAGGGGCCTTATGTAGCTGTGCTCGCAAATATATTGCTTCAGAAAACTAAAATAAAATGCAGTTCTTGATTGGTAAACACCCAATACGTATTTTCCAATGAACTTGTGCAGACTCATTGTTTGCTGCATTTAAGAATTTTCTCTAATTGTTTGTTGCTACAAGGTGAGCTTAGAGTGTATTTAACAAAAAATGAACCATCTTCGTCAGTTTATTTTCCATCAGATTGGTTCGTGCTTTTTGTATCCAGAGTGTATCGATTTAATAAATTGCAGAGTCGCTGGGTCTTCAATTTAAGGTTCATTGGGCTTTTGGTCCGTGGAAGTGTTTCGCCGGTCTCTGAGTTATTCAGGTGACACAGTTACGGTCACGTAAGTTTTCCTTTTCTATCATTATTTTTTCGACATTTTGCACTTTATGGCCAAGCTGCTGGTCCCCTTAACTCCTGAACCGAAGTTGTCCCACAGCTTTTTCCCCGTCCTTCTGGCTTTTTAGGTGGCGAGTGCATTTCGGGTTTCGTAGTTTATTACTTTCGCCTAAGTTTTCCTTTCCGTCCCATTTTTATGTTTTCAATTCAGCGAAACTTTTAGCTCGTACAAATGAATGAAGCAGGTTGAATATTTTTTCGATATTTTTGTCGCCTCCTGTAATTTTAAAAAGCTGGTTAAACTGTAGCCAGCATTATGGGGCTTAAGTGATGTTCGTAGATTACACAAACAAGTTGGGGGTTTCGAAAAAAGAGCACACAAAGTTGGTAACTTCTAACAGCAAGGGCCCATAAGTGAATTGAATAATTCAGTTGGCAGACAAGATATAAGTGGTAATTTCAAGTTATGCTGGGGAAAGCCGGAAAATGTTTTGCTAAAATTGATTAGCCAAAAGTCAATTGGTTAAATACCAATTAAAGTTCCTTTGGTCAGTGGCAGAAACTTGATTTTCCACTTAGTATTTGTCTCAAATGGCACGAGTGAGTAGGCAAATATACTCGTAAATGCAAAAAGTCATTTAAACTTCTACTTCTCAGGGTGGCAGCTTCCGCAAATTGTAGCAAAAGAAAGTTTTCGAATAGTTCCAAGGCGGGTTGAAAATGTTGAAGTTTAAATTATGTACGCAGCTGGAGAAGAGCTGACAATTTCAACCTAAATGAGCCATCTAATCTCGAGTAATCTGTGGCTCTATATTGTTAATAAACCTAACGGATGAATTCTTGGCATTTAAAATATTGCACGTACTTTGCGAATATATTAGATGGAACCAACCGCAGGAAACAAAGCAAAATGTCAAAAACGAAGGAGGGCTGAAATTATGATTTCGTCATGCAAAATGCGGCTAAGCACTCATAAATAAAAAACATAAAGGCTCATAAAAGAAATATTAATGCGTCTGCGAGAGCGGGAAAGTATGAAGTTATCACGTGACTCCTTACGCACATTGCACGCCATAAATTACAAAGTACTTTGCCCGCCAAAACTCAATTTACATTCATGTACACAACACCCAACACACACGAGCACCGCTCACCCACACAAATGCCCTTTGCTTCCTCGCTGATAAGCCCGAAATGAATGGGAGGAGCACACGGAAAATGCGACTGGAAAATGCTCCAGGAAAGCGGGGAAGCTGGGGAAAACCCAGTGGCAGGCAAGTGTGAAGAAAAAATTGTTGCATTAAATTAGGCGCACACAGAGAGTGGAAAACTTTACGATGCGTCACTTGGCCCACGCCACACTTAAATGCCGATAAATCATTAAAAGAAAAATAAGGGAAAGCTCTGCAGAGACGAACCAAAACGAGTCAAATGCAAATGGCAAATGTTGCTGGCAACCAACAGCGCTCGATATGCCCTTTTTCTTGCTTTTTGCTGAACTTTTACAACCCACAAAATACGATTTTTATTGCCTTGGCCCTGTGGCAGCGTCTGGCACTTCATAAAAATGTAAAATATTATGATGCTCCCGGACACGTTCACTCAAACTCAAAACGCATTGTGCGAGATCCTCCCGATTTTTCTCGTATTTGCCGCGCCGAAAAGGGAAAATCCAGGCGTGTATGATAATTTCCTTCGAAATGTCATCTGAAATGTTACTGCTGGAAATCATTGGCTTTCGGGTTTCCTTTACGATGCACTTGGCCCATCACCTGTTAGCCCAAGTACCTCCAGCTGCCATTTGCAAGCTAGTTACACTCATGTAGGGACTTAATGTGAGCCAGCGGTACACCCGGCGTATACGTAATAAATGGCTCTGCAGGCCAGAGGAGCCGATCCTGCGATGGGTGCCTGGGATGCGGCCAGAAACAGAAACCGAACCCGGCCACTTAATCTTAATGCATTCTACCGCTTAACCCTTGCATCAGCTTAACTCCGGCTTAAACCAGCCAGCCGGCGTTTTGCATACGAGCGCTCAGGTGAGACTGCGTTCTAACGAAACCAATATGACTTCTAAAAAAGAATTGTGGAAGCGAAAGCACTTAAATGCGTTGCACACCGCGGAAAAATATTGCAGTAATATAAAATGTCAATTTGAGCAAACACCAAATGGATAAAGATATTCCATATCCGCCTGACTAATATACAGGTATCGCACGGTTTCAAGATATTTAGCAATGCTAAAAGATACAAAAGAGTAATCTATTATTTCGAAACAGAAATTCCCCGACAGCGCCCCTCAAAACCACGGCTTTTGTTATTTAAATTAGGTGGGTATTTTCCCAAAGTGTTGCGCTGCAACTGGAAGATAAGGGGCTGGATGGGCGGAAGTAGCATGTCTGGACCAGAAGGGAGACTCGATGTGGCTCCTGGCCCTGAATGTTGTTGCAAATTGAAATATGCAATTTGTCGTGAGAGATTTTGTGTGGCTTTGCCGCTGACTACGACTGCAAGTCCTGCTGTGCTGGGAGCCAGCTTTCCTTTCGTTTCCATACCCTTTTCAATTTCACCGTATTATCGGTTAACAACATTATGTCAGCGTTCAGGCGTAAAACTGCTTAAGAAAATTGCGGACTGGGAAAAAATGGCGAGTAGGAATTGGTTGGAAGTCGTTTTGAAATCGAAGCAAGTGCTTCGCCACCTTAATAGTTTTCCCCTCCTGATTTTCCCCCGTGCCCATAGCAATTTATGTGGAATCTGCCACATAATTGCGTCCCAGTTACATTTTGTGCACAGCTCTCTGCATTTGTTGCAGCCCCGTAAATGTGTCATACATTGTGCCGGGACACCAGGGCGAATGCATAATGTGCACCCTATTTACACTGGGGCTTTCTTATTCGCATTTTATGCTGCATTTTAACGACTCCGTGCGCCTTGTGCCACCCACGGGAAAAAGTCCGCACATAATTGATGGCCTGCACATGGCGAGCTCATCAATAACTAACATGACGTATGTGTTATAAACAAATAAGCACAAAAACTCATCCATCGTCGGCATCATCAATATCCGCTAGATACGGCGAGAAATTGTCAAAATATTAATGGCCATCAAGTAGTTCGATCTGCCTGTTGTAGCAAATTTATGTCTATTGCTACAACTATTCGAGAGTGTTCTTCCCCGTTTTTCCGCCGTTTTTCCTGCCATCTTTGATTGATAAATTTTCTTTTACGGTTGCCATTCTTTCTGTTGTTTGCCCGGCCATTTTCCTCTTATGGCTTCGTTAGTAAATTATGGCCACTTCCGTTTTTGCTGTCTAATAAACTGAGCCGTCATATGTTGTGCGTAAGTGTGTGCGCGATGGCTTACTTATGGGATCCTGCCATCCTGCCATCCTGCCGAACTTCACTTTTGTTTGGCCACCGAAAACAAATTGACGTAAGTCGTGTGTAATTTATAATGAAATATTATATACGCTCGTGTGGCAGTTAGGCAGTCAAGTGTGCGGGAGGTAATAAATGGCAATGTGTGGTGTGATATCTGGCCGGCTTGAGTGGCGATGGAGAGCATTTTTGTAGGCAATTTAATTCGTGTTTCCCGGAATCATGAAGCGAAATCTCAAAAAACGTCTTGACAGTTGAGTTTGATCATGCAATCGATTAGGTCCATTTAAAGGCAGTTCAGGTATGTGAGATTTAAGGAGGTTTATTAAACCCAACGCCTTGTCTTGATGAATTTATGAAGAGCTAATGAATTGGAAGCCTCTAAATGTTGTGTAAATTACGTTGGGTAAAGAAAAAAACAACTTTTGATTTAAGACCTAAAGGTCTCATTTGCACAGCTCTTTTGATTACCCGCAAAACTATCAAAAATGAATTTAGTTTTCACTTAAGCAAAGATTAGTTTTCGTGCAGTTGCAATGCAAACGGGGCAGGAAGTCCTAGGAATTTTGTTGCACAAATTAGGCGAACCCCCAAAATACGTAAATCTGTTCACCTATTCGCTCGACTGAAGCCAACAGCTCAGATTTTTGTGTGTTTGCAACATGCCGCTACAAATTCGTGGGTATGTGTCTAATGCACTGCTAGCATGCAAAATGGCAGTCAGTAGTTATACTATAACGCCCTGTAATTAGACTATGACACGCTAAGTGCACGAACACATGGAAGTAAAACAGGAACTTAGGAAGGTCCTTCGGGGAAATGTCTTGGGGGAAATGCTTCAAGTGCATGCAATAAAAGTCACTTTCCGCTTCCTTTGGACGGACTGGGTGCCATTTGCAAGTTCTGTTTGCTTAGACTAGCACATTTTCCATTTCAATTTGGCCACACACACTGCTTACTCTGCCCGGAAAAGTATTCCTTATTTTGTAAATGACCGAATTCCAAACTGACCCCCGAAAAAGTCGGAGGCGTAAGCAGCCAATTATGAACTTTGACTTATCAATTTCTTAAGAAACGACCACACACACTAAAATGGTCGAATTCTGTTGGTCACATTTAATGCGCAATTTAAATTCAATGCCTTGGGTTCTCACTACATGTATACCTCACTTTCGAGGGTCAAGTGGCCATTGAGAAGGTGAACTCTCTTCGACCTTTTGCCCGAGATGTGACAAATTTTTCATGCATATTTTATACGTTGGCTTTGAGTGTTCCACGGCCCTAACAGTGTCTGTGTGATTGGTTGTGTGTACATGGAAAACTTTGTGTGAGTGACCCGGATGGAAAAACAAAAATACACATTTTACAAGGTGGTTTTGGGTGGCGTTTGGGCTTTTCCAGCGGGGCTATAAATATGGTTGGCGCTTTAAAAGCGCAATTTTCTGTGTCAATATTGAATATTTAAATTTGTATAAAAGCGGAATATATATAAACTCCGACATGTCAAGCAGCGAATATGCAGTGCTCTACAAATCCCGTAGCTATAAGTTAACTTAAAGTTTTCTGTTAAGTAATAAAGTATGGCATAAAATATAGAAAGTTGTTTAGTTTAGCTCAGAAAACAGTAATTACATTTTTATTTAATTTAATTTATACTGCTATTACCGAATTAACCCGTCGTTGATTTTACTGGCTTAGCTTTTGCTCCTTATTTACTAGAAAATGTCTACATATTTGATGAACTTAGAAAAGCCCATCTAGAGAAGAAGTACTATTCTTCCACGTACACAATGCTTAAAAACTGCAACGGAAAAGATGATAGTATATCCGAAAACGAAAAAATGCCAGAAGTGTCATGCAACATTGTTTCATAACTGTAAAAGACAGAAGAAAAGTGGAAAAACGTCACACACACGCGCACATTTACACACAAATGGCGGCCATCAGCAGAGACTTTGCTTTTCATACATATTGTAGATTTATTGATAGCGCTCCACGTTCACACAACCAAATACACAGGCCCATCAGAGAACGCATCTGCACAGGGAAAAATCAGGAAACAGTTAATTCAGCAGTTAATTCCGGCTCAATTACATCTTAGATAAGATCATAATGATTGAAACTTTAGGAAAATTCGTAATGTGCTACGCTTTGTGTGAATTGTTTATGCATATAGAAAGTGGAATAGTTTTCTGCAGTGTAAAGAGTCACGGCGACACACATAAACATGTACACACACACACAATCACCATAAACGCTTTCAGTTAAAGTCAATATGTAGTCAAGCGCTTCGTTTGTAACACAGAGTTGACAAAAGTTTCCGACGCCCCTTTTCTGTCAGCCGCTTTTTCTGCTCATATTTATGGCTTTCTATCGTCACTTGTAGGTAGTTATTCCAGAGTTATTGTAGAAGCTTGTATTGTATGCTTGTATGTTGGCAAAGCCTAGGAAATTGCAATCGCAAGCAGCAAATACAATCAGCAACACAAACGCAGACACAATCCCAAAGGACGAGTGACTATCTGTCTCGACGAAGGAGTTACGCAAAATGAGCGATTTGATGTGTGTACTTATGTCCTGGGAATCCCCTGATGGGAATCGATTTGTGGGTCCTTGTTTAAGCCCTGATTGCAGGCCGACTAGCGGGCTAAATGCGAGAATGGGTGCTTACTACTAATTGGACAGCCTTGGAAACTGAAGGTTGTGAAATTGTTGTAATAGTATTTTTTCGATTTTTTAATATACAATTTCCGTAAAGAAATTTACCATATTTAGTCAATAATGTGCTTTTATATAATTAACTAATTTTTTATAATTAGAAAACAAAAATGCTAAGTTCGTCAATCTCTTCCGAAAGTAACGTTTATATTCAAGGCGAATTTATGAATTCAAATGCAAATTCATGCAAATTTATGAAAATATCCTGTGAATTTTCCTCAAAATTTCAGTTCCGTAAATGGAAGATTAAAATTTCAGAAGTCCGCTTCCCTTGCATTGACAAATCAAGCCAACGCTTTAAGACATGAAAATGCTGATGGAAATCTTTGAGAACTTGACACTAAATGGTACGCAGGGGCTGGGAAATAATAAATGTAATTTCGAAATTTTCCGTTTCCTACTCCCCTTGTTGCGTTTGGCAATTGTGTCTGGCGTAAGAAAATGAGAAAAGTAACCTCATTCTGGTCTTTGTCTGACTCGATTCGCCCCCACCGACAATCACATCCAGCTGCAATATTTGCTGGGCAAAGTTTACGGGGAGCAGACAAAGTAAAAAGTTTACTTGTTTTTCTCTCCTTTTTTCAGCTCTGCAGTCTATTTTCCTTTGGCCGCTTTATTCCGTGTTAATTCGGCTACTGTGTATCAGAATGGGTCTTCCCCCTATTGTTGGCATTCATATGCATAACTCTCTCACACCGGCGGAGCTCAGACGAAAAAAGTTAAGAAGAACTTCATTTCCGTGTGTGACCAGCAACACGCACCAGGCGGCTCTCGTTTCGATTTCCGGTTCCGCTTTCGGGACCCACTGACTTGTGCCGCCGTTTGCGTGTGGAATGTGGCACGCACTCGGGCGCACATCAATCTGCCGTCCCCTTTCACGTCCCTTGCCTCATTAATAATGTGTATTCAATGGGTTTGGATCTCCCCATTTGATTGGTTAGGGGATAGGGGAGGATTGGTTATAATCGGCATCTTTACACAGAAAATAAAGTTCTCCCTAAAATCATTCTTTGCGTTTAAATTTCTTCTATTTATTCCCTACATTTACATTTCATTTTGGGGTTTATCTGAGTTGCTGCTTCTTCGAATCGAGTGTCACAAATTTGGGCTACTTTTCATTATTGTGTGCCTATATTAATACCAATGACCCACTTTGCTTGCGTACAGTGCTCATGATAAATATTTGCTTATTTTCTGGTTTACGCAATCAAACAGGCTTTTGGCAACTCTCGATTGGCTTATTGGATTCAGTCGAAACCATAGACACAAAGGAAATATTTCATTAGGAGTTCAGCCTGCAATGCTGCGATGGATTTATGGAAAATATGGATGCAACTGTTTCCATTTTCAAACATAAAGAGGTCAGGAATACATTTATCAATTGGTCAATGGGCAAGAAAGCCCTCTCATAATGCGCCATTAAGTGAGCCTTGAAGAGCCTAATCACATGGAAATGCTAGAGATTAGAAATTATGACATTCATTTTTCACCAATCCCCGATTAAGGGGATAGAGGCCATTTCTCAGTGGGCAAACAAAAGTCAGTTAAGCACAAAATATGGCCAACATTCAAACAGCTGATAAACTTGAAATCTACACACGAACGAGCAGACCAGATGAGGGTCCAAAACCCGGAGGGGCTCGGTTTTAGGGGAATAAAAAGCCCAATGGACTTTTGCCTGGAAAAGCGGCAAATCATGCTTAATGTGGCATTTGTATGTTTATTTTTTATATTTTTTTTTTCTACATTTTCCTTCTACGCTGTTCTCAGCGAGAACAAGCCGAGGACTTAAAAGGAAGCGCCGAAGGACACGGCAACAACAATAATGCCGTAAAAAGGCAGCAAATAAAATAAAATAAGATGAGATGCGATGCGATGGGAAAGGGCCCAAATGAAGAGCAAGACGCTGGCAAAAGCAGTGGCGATGGCATGGAGCAAATAAAAGCCACAGAGGCGAGAAAGGACTTCACTAAGCAGCGGCCCAAAGCAGAGAAAAGCTAAGATTATATAAATTTTATTGTCATGTCCAAGTAGATTAAACTAGCTGCATATCCGTCCGAGTCCACAGTCTCGAATTCCGGCTCGTCGAATCCCGTGAACGGAGCTCAAAAAGAAGCTACCAAGGAGGCACAAGGGATTTATGTGCGTATTTGTGCGCTCGTATGCGTCTGTGTTTCTGTGTGTGTGGAGGATAAAAAAAGTATATTTTTCACTTTTAACGCAGCAAATTCATATTCGGAAACTGAGGGGAGTAGGGTTTCACACATAAAGAGCTGCACAATCTTTCATCCTTTTGGCATTCAGCCGTGAAGTAAGATCACCTTGAAGGCTCTGAATTAAAAACCTGTATGGCATATTTTCACGGAGAGAACTCTTTAGGCTTATAATATTGTGGGTTGTATTGTATTTTTTGAATTTCCACCCATCTTGCCCATCAATATTCGATTATCAATTTAGCTCGGCTTTGTATCACCTTTTTGTGCCTAACTCACAACTCACTTCTACATGAGCCGACAAAAATAAATAATGACTTATTTCTTCTGACAGTTGGGAAACCCAAAGCAAAAACGTAGGCTTCAGCTCATTAAGATAAACTGTAAAAAATTTACATATTCTGGTTTTCTTGTCTCCTTTTTAAACGATTTATTATGAAATGCCCAAGGTCCTTGATTGGATGAGTTTGTTATCCCTTGTAAGTATGTCCTTGTATCTGTTGCCTTTGCTGTGCGCAAAAAGTTGTCCTGTTTTTCAGGGACTGCTTATCCAATTATCAAAACCAGACATTTAATTTTCCCTTTTACTGGCGCTTGCCCTCGACAAATTGCTCGTTCAATTAGCCGCCCTTGAAGACGAGCATTGCACTCAAAAAACGTACACAATTTCCAATTCAATTTGGGTCCGCGTCTCAAGTTTCGGCGCAAACAATTTATCATAATTTCCCAAAGAAATAAATGGAAAGAAATGAAAACTCTTGCAACTCAGCAGAGTTGGCACGCCTTCATCGGCAGAGACCTTTTCTGCCATCTGCTGTCGAAGACAAATTGCAGGTAAAATGTAAATTCTTTCATACTTCAGCGAATCCTTATTTATTCTATAGGTATTTACTTTTATTCATTTTTCATGCCGAGACAAGGCGACATTCTCCTTATCGGCTAGCCGAAAAAGTGAACCGTTGTTATACCAACATAGATTCACGTGATTGGACACTCCTAATGCAAGGGTCTGTGGGGCTTAAAGGTATATCTATAGTGGGTAAGAAATCATGTTTGACCTCAAAATAAATAATAAAAACAACCACTGAAAGCGGTCATTTATTAAGTACTTCTTTTAGTAGATATTTCTATACTTATATATCGACTGATATCAGGACTGATAAAAGGGCAAATACAAAACGTAAATGAATCAAAATCAAAGCCGAGAGGCACTGTTGTATTTGATTATGCTAAATTTACAATTATACCATCTTAAATTACGTTGCAACTGCAAATGTCAAAAAGCTGTGAAAATATAACTAAATTCCATTCGGAGAGGGGAGCTCAGCAAACACGACAAGTGTACGCCCTGCAAACTGTAAGTTAATTGAAAGCCAGCGGCAACATTGAAATCAAGGCAACTGTCTCCCCAAATGATGGACGACTGTCTTGGCGAGGAACTGGCTGACAGACTGTGGCAGTCGCTCTGCGGCTGAACTCCATTGCCGTCGAGCAGTATATTAAATTTAGCTCTTAACGCGCTGATAGACAATCAAATTTACTTCGATTCGCAGTGCACTATTCGACTCCTCTACTGGCAGGTGGCGCGCTATTTGAGTTGTCAGAGTTGGCTCAGTTAGCTGAGATAACTGACTGCCGCTGATGGTTCCCATTAAGTCCCAGTTACACGTCCGGATTCCCCAAGGCCAGTGCTCCTTTGGGTTTTAATTAAAATGTAATTTACTACCCTGTCGAACGGCGGCGGCGTCGCTGGAGTTTGCTGCCGTTGCATTTCCCAGTGGCCGACTGAAGTTGACTGGCAGACTGACGTATAGACACCCAGACAGATCGATACAAAAAGAACTGAATATTTAAAGAGCATTCAGACTCAATGAGAGTGGACGCAATTGTCGATTTTCTCGAGCTCAACTGAAAAGAACTCAATATTAAAAAATATAATAAAAGATTCAGCAGGCGAGAGCTCTATAGTGGATTTCCCCGACTACCAGATACCTGGTGCCTGCCTTTCTAGCGACATACAAGTCTCGAAGTTTAGGGACTCTAAGGCTATGGGATTATAAAGGTATTTTTCATTATTTAAATGGCTCCATAACCCTCAAACCCAATTTGAAGTCCAACAACATTTTCTTACTGCCAAAAATGAACAAATACATGGATACTTTAATGGATAAGTATAAGTTTTAGTGCGTTAGGCAGTAAATTCGAGCAAACTTATACTTGTTTCGTCTGAGTTTAGTGAGTTAAATGAAGTCTCCCGTGCCCATTTTATACCACACTGAACTCAATTTATAAGATGAAATTTAATGGATCCCCAACTACTTTCACTCTTTTACAGCTCAAGAAGCAAACTGCTGCAGACAAATGTGGCAAATCGCTTTGGATTTTCTCCAGACAGGACCAGACATACTTTTAGGCATAAATTTGGCCACTTTGCATTCGGGTCCTTGGACCTTCTTTTCGGCTTAGCGTATTTTCCTTTCGGAATTTGAAAAATGCTCAAGTATTTGTCCGTTTGCGTGCAGCGCAAGCCCAAAAAATATTAAAACCCCTGAAAAAAAAAATGCTAAAAAAAGATATTTTAAACTTTACCAACGCTGACCCTTTTCTGGCGTTGGCCTTAGGGATTAACGGAGCAAAGAAAAATCGAGGCGAGTTTCCCCCTACCAGCCGGCTGCCAATTTATTCAAATGCCTTGCAAAGTGCTAAATAAACAAGACTCAGTCCCCCGACATGGTCGTGTCATTTTTCTCGGTTTTAGCTGGGTGCAAAAAATATAGCACACTTATTTGGTGTTAGCCAAAACCCACTTTCGCCCCGCACTCACCTTGTATGGGCACATAAATATTTAGATAGAGGCAGTCCTCTGATTGATTCTGCAGATAGGGCAGCAATCGCTTCAGATACTCCAGTCTGCCCTTGGGCATCCGTTCCAGGGCCGCCGTCTCGTTGTGAATGTCCGGCAATCTCTGCGGGCAAACCGGGCTGAATCTGCAAAATCGAAAAAGATTTGAGTGCCCAGCTTGTTAAAGGAGAAAGTTTCCATCACGGCATTTCGCTTGTTGTTAAAAAGGTCTGCTCACCCCGAAAAATAAAAATACAAGCGAAAAAAGTTCTGGTAAATAGGCTTATTTTTATGCCCGGCCTCAAATGTCGTTATAAATAGATTAATTTGCCGGAATTGTGTAATCTTTCAGGTTTTTTTCAGGCGCGCTTGTAATGACTTGAGGAGAGACCGAACCAAAGCCAACTTTGTGATTGTCTTTTGGCAATAACAGCTTTTTGATTTGAACGCAAAGTTTGCGTTTTAATTTGTTTTTGTGAATTTGTCTCCTTTCCTTTCCATTTCTTCGCTTCTGCATTTTTCTCTCTTGGCCGAGGCTTATTTTCGATCTTGGTAAATTGGTTTTCGATTTGGCTCTTATCGTTCGATTTTCCCCATTGGCAAATCTCCCTTTGTGTGTGCACTAGTGCAATTTACCGATTTCCTCCCTCTATTCCCACATGCAGGCCATGCAAATGCCAGAAGCGTACTCTTTTTTGGCTTTGCGCTCATTTATGAATCTGATGGGACTCGCATACACCGCAACTAAATTATGGTACTCAGCAAGGTCAAGAAACTTATAATAACTTTTAATTCTTGAACTTAAAAAAGAAACATATTTTACTGAGGTCTTGAAAAGCAACGTACAGCCTTCAATTCGCTCAAAAATAGTCAAATAAAATATTTTCGAAATTACCTAATCTCTATAAAGAAAAAAAGGGATTTAAAATGGCTTGATTAAACATTTTGTTCAACAGCCAGATTGCCTTAAAAGGGAAAACTTTAAAGTACACGTTGCAAATAAATATTTTTCACCAGTGTTCCAGAAGTCGGGTTCTGCCATCTGCTCTTATCTGGCAGTGTTATTATTTGTTTTTAATCCGATCTATATACGGAAGAGTTATACACATTCTGACAAGTTGAACCCATCTGTGTTCCATTGACACACTGCCTAGATAAAATTTCGCTCAAATTCATTAAAGATTTGTTTCAGTAGAGGTTCTTATAGGATTGGCAAACGAACGAAAGGAAATCTGAGGACAGTAATGCATTAAGGCCGATCCGATTTGTCTGGGAAAAGCCCTCAACTCCATTCATAAAGCCTTTGCGGCCGTCAGAGTTCCTCCTAATTTATAGTTGAGCGCTGAGATCCCTTCAAATAGGCGGCTTAACTCATTAACCGCCACAACTCCTGTTGGCCATCAAATTGTCATAAAGCGAAAATCAATAGGAGCATTTAAGAGGGAGCTCCTCCTCCATTCCTCCGGCCTGCTGGCCATTATGAGGCTTCCTCTTCCAGTCATACCGAAATGCATTAACATTAATGACATTGCGAAACGAGAATTTATTTTATTTAATTTCCTTAACTTTATTTCGCTGTTGCCCTTTTATCTTTGTTATTACCGCCCCTGCGCTCTTTGTTTACCAGGGCGAGTATATTTAATTTTTGGTTTTTATGGCATTCCAAACGCCTCGCAGAAAATTGGGAATCTACTCGGAACTGACCCTCAGTGGGTCGCCAGTTAATGGACGCTTGTGGTGGCCATGCGATTGCCATAATAATCATTAATTTTATGGCAAAACAATAAGGCAGGTAATAAAAGTTTCATTTTCGGGCTCCCCTTCCCTTAGCCTTTTTTTAATGTAGCGGACATGGTGTCAACCTCCGAGCCCTGCAGCCACATGAACGGGAGCTGGAGCTGGAGCAGCTTGGATGAGCAGAAAATATTAAAAATAATGAAAGTGAAAAGTTTTTACGGCAACTCTCGCGTAGTTGTAGTGGCTGCCAGTGGTTGCCAGTGGTCCCGGGTACAGGTAACGAAATCCCGTTCCATCCTCCCCAGTTCGAGGTCATAAAAGCCACATTTTGCCTTTTTAATGTTGCCCCCCTGGCAAACGAATGGCGCACACTTCTCAAGTGGCAAGCGATCTTGTTTATGCCACTTTGCAACCGCTGAACTTTCGCAGATAAGAACGGGTGGTGGCACGCAATACAGGTGGTGCAGGTGGGTTATATGTAGACTGCTGGATGGGAGTGGTTGAGTGGCGCTAATAAAGCGGGTGCCGCAATTAAGGTCAGGGTGAGTTCTTCTCGCCATCGATGCTGCATTTGCAATGGCAGGGCATTAAAAACTTGATAATTACTTGTAGATTTTACAGACAGCTGGGGGTGGGGCGAATAATCATGTTTACCAGTGGGGCAATTCACTTTAGAACCATCTTATGCTTTACTATTTCCATTTTACTGTGATGATATGTGATAAAAGTAGGATTGCTTTTCGAAATTAAGCAGAGTTCTCAAAATGGATTTCTTGAATTTAGTTCACAACATTGTTGTATAATTTCAGCTATAGTGGAACATTTGAAATATACGAATTATCATGTGTATAATTGAAATACTCGCTCGTTCTTTTAATTCATTTATGTCGTCCTATTTTTATTTTTATTTTAAATTCCTTTCCAATTTTAAATTCCGTACTAAATATTTGACTAACTTGTTTAAGAGAAATGCTCCCAAAATACTACAAGTCTGCGAAGACTGTTACATCACAGGCTGAACATCTAAAACATATTTGCCTGATGGCTAACAACTAATGTCGCATTGCATTTCTCAAACTCACCTGTTTTCCATGCAGATTTTTGTAGCCAAAGCACGCGGTCAAAAGTAAATAAGATGCGTAACGCCATACGATTTTTTTGCACACGATTTTTTCGGGCTGGCTCACCAGGTTCTCTCGAATTTTTGTGCAAGTAACACATACATACATACATACATATATGCATACATATATGCATACATACATGCATACATGCATACATACATACATACATACATACATACATACATACATACATACATACATACATACATACATACATACATACATACATACATACATACATACATACATACATACATACATACATACATACATTTATATATACATACATACATACATACATACATACATACATACATACATACATACATACATACATACATACATACATACATACATACATACATACATACATACATACATACATACATACATACATACATACATACATACATACATACATACATACATACGTACGTACGTACATACATACGTACATACATACATACGTACTTGCATACGTACATACATGCACCGGTACATACACTACACATACACTACATTCACTGCTCGTCCGGTAAGAGAGATGACTTGAACTATTTTGCGACTCGAAATTTGAAGACATGCCTTATAGTCCTCGCTAGAACCAGTTGGGAATTATAGGGCTACAAGAAAATATTTTTCCTAAGCAAATATTAGTTTGGCAAATATCTCCCTTCCGCCTTTTTGTCTTTTGAATTTCGCGGCTATGTACAAAGCGCTACAGACCTCGTATCTGGCAATACTATACATAATTTGAAAGGTCTTGACATAACCTACAAAACGACGCTATGCATGATTAGTTTGGATATTGCGTTCAACAGTTATAGACGTGTAAACGTGGAGTTCACTAACGCCGAAATTCGCGCTATTTTAAAGTTTTCCTTCGTTAAAGGCAAATCCGCTAGAGAAACGTTCCGTGAGACTAATGGTGTTTTGGGGGATGGTACTCTATCACTTCGAACCGCGGAGGAATGTTTTCGACGATTCAGAGCCGGTGAAAACGACACCATGGATAAGCCAGCCGGCGGAAGACCTGTGACGACAAATACCGATCAAATCATGGAATACATCGAGCTAGACCGGCATGTGGCATCTCGTGACATCGCCCAGGAGATGGGAGTTAGTCACCAAACCATTTTAAACCATCTGCAGAAGGCTGGATACAAAAAAAAGCTTGATGTTTGGGTGCCGCATGATTTGACGCAAAAAAACCTTCTGGACCGAATTTGAACTAAATCCGATCACTGTAACACTTTTTATAAAGCATTGAATAAAGAGCAAAAAGGCGGAGATTTTTGCCAAACTATTATTAAAAGCGGCAATAACTATGCGTTCCGACAGTAAGTTAAACATTCTTCAGGCTTTATTTAAGACAATTTTTACTACTTTGCGCAAGTAACACATACACATACACTACATACATACAAACATACAAACATACATTCATACATACATACATACATACATACATACATACATATATACATACATGCATACATACATGCATACATACATACATACATACATAATTACTGCCGCCACCAAAAAAGTGGCTGCATAGTGCAAAACCAATGTATGGCCGTTACGCATCTTATTATTCTAGTGCCTTTGGTTATAGCCATGGTTCCTGCCCATTCCCCTGTGTTATTACGAAATACATGCAGTTTGGAATTCACAAACAAAACATAAAGCAAAGCTCGCCCCAAATGCTCCAGTTTTGTGTACATTTGAGTGGAAGGCCGGATTAATCCGCATGCAGGGGAAGAGACTCAAGAGCAGACAAAGCTTCAAGGGTCAGGGTTTTGGGGATATAATGGCGTACTTTTGGGAGGAGGAGTGCGAACGCTTTGTGGTAAGTAAATGGTAGCCAGGACACAAGTCCGGCCAGATCCGCTGGCGTTTTCGGCTTGAATACATCAAACAAAAGCATAATCTTAGCCAAGCAGAAAAATACACGCATACACCGGGAGAATAATTCACAACAATATTAAATATCTCGTTTATCTTTGGGCCGACTAAAATGCAACATAGTTCTAGAGAGCTTCAATGGAGAGACATTTACGTGCCAGTACTGGTTTTTTTTTCAGTGCCGATTTTAATGGAATGGGCAGGTGATGAACGAAGGGCACCGGATCGCATAAAATTATACGCGACATTGCGGCCACGTCAAGTAAAATAGATTAATTTTACCTGTGGCCAACGGGCCAGAAGGTTGTCGTCCTCATCCTGATTTTTCCATCCCTCCGAACGTTCACACAAATTAGATTGGCTGGCGACACAGACTCAGAACTCACACCTTCCCCGGAAAATGTGCTTCGGGCGTAAAGCTTTCTTGCCTCAGTCAAATTAAATAAAATCCAATTTAAAATGAATTTTCGCAATTTCATTTAAAACGGGCAACAGTTTGTACCGCCGCCGCTGAGGCAGTCGGAAATTTATGCGGCTGATGTCCTGGAGATGTCTTCCCGCCTCCCCACCTCCCCTCTCGGCCCTTAACCCTCCGCATCCTTGCGGTTACCACTTGCTCTTGAGCCTCAAATTGGAATTAACGTTTTTAATGACGGAGCAAGCTTCTGTTTGCCGGTGCGAAAGAGATGCCTCACGAACTGCTGCACGCATTTTCTGATGGTCCTTGAGGTCCTGGTGGCCCTCACCGCACCTCCTGCCCGTCATTCATTAATGCGCTTTTTTATTAGGAAAATCGTTAACTTGAGTTCCTCCACTTAGCGTTTTTGCGCCAAGCTTTTACTTTCGTCTTTATTAAAAACTTTGGCGTCATGCATAAAACTCGTCAGTTTATTGCGATTTTTACACTCCGTTTATGAGCCAGAACCTGGGACCCTGGGTCCCGAGCTCCTGGAACCTGGAACCTGGTCAGGAGAGGTTGGCCACTAATCCGCTTGTTTTTCATAATCCTTACGCCACAGGCAACGGCCAGGACCAATGTGCAGCCGTTGGAACAACAGCACCAAAGTGCAAGGTGGCTGGCGGAATTTATTTCATTTTTATTAAAGACGTTGCGGCGGAAAATGCGTGGATGAGGTTGCAAAAGTGGGTGGAGGGCGCTACAATGGGTGGCCGGGTGGCTTGGTGGTTTGGTGGCTTGGTAGCTTGGTGGTGACACGCGTGGCTTGTCAAAGCCATGAACAGCTGCCGCCTCCGCCTTTGCCGGGCTAGGAATATGTGTGGACATAATTTTCTCTTTTTTTATTTTCCTTATTTTATTTGCCTCCATTTTTTGTGGATGCGGGAAATTATTTTCGCAATGGGGCCGACGAAAGTTGACGAGTAACTTGTGGTGGAAAGGAATGTGAAATTCAACTTTAGTCCAAAGGGCAGAATATGACAGGTGACGAGTGCATGATAAAGGTGGAAAACTAATGTTAGCAATTGAATCAAGCAATTATATTGTCTGCTGGCCTCGCTGACGTATCGGGAAAAATTAATCAAAGGTCAAGAAAAGTTTGCACAAGGACTAAAATGGAAACCACGTAACAACTTGGTATCTAAGCTTGGTATCCTAGGCGGTATCCATTTCCCGAAATCAGGCTAATGACCTATTGTGCCAACTGTCCATGGACAACTTTATTACGCTGACGTGCTGAAAAATCTTCCGACCATTACTCAAGCCGTTTTATTGGCTCCTTTTGCGGCTGACCCCCGCTGTCAACAGGGCGGACTGACAAATAAAGCCGCTCACCTATCCGGAAAAGCGAAGATGATGCGGCGCAGGAGGCCTTGAATTACCCAAAAATTGGCGGGGAAATTCGGGAATGCGAGAATGCGAGAATCATCTGTCTGCTGCGCGGCCGCAGGTGGTGTTCTTTGTTAAACTTGAAAAATTATATTTTATTTGCCGGGCCGCGCTGTGTGCCGTACCGATTTCGCGGCCCTTTTCCATCCGGGAAAAGGGGAAAAACTTTTGCCGCTTCCCTTTTTACAATGGGAATGGGAGTGGGAATGCGAAGGGCCGGGAATATCTCTGGGCATCTTTGTGAATAATGATTTGCCACTTGGGAGCATTTGTAAATTAGATGCCGCTGTGTAGCTGCTGCTTTCTGCTTTCCCGTAGCGCTGTTTGCTGCCGGGGACGGCGTAAATATTTAATTTGCGAGATATTCCGCGAGGAAGTCGGCCGACTAAGTTGACCTTTGACTTGTGTTTCCCCATTTTTTCATTCCCTATTTTCAGAAGCCATTATCGTTATGTCCATTGTTGTCGCCGGCCGGGCACGGGTTGTAGCATTTTCCATTATTTTCATTACTTTCAGTTACACTCGGCTTTCAGCATTTCAGCATTTTAGCATTTTCGGACCGCCGCCTGCGCACTTGACTCAATAATGAGTCAGTTAATTGAGGTGACAATGGTTGGGCCCTCTTGAGAGACTTGACTTATGGCATTTTGATCATTTTATGCACTTGAAAGGCAAATCACACTCAACACTTTGGGTGATGATTTAGTGCTTTCAGATGGACAAAGCCTTTTGTCAGACGATGAAAGTCGGCAGACTTCTCCGCGAATTTATGTAATTACTTGGACGACGGATCGGGATTTTCCTAATGTGATTGGATGGACTAATTATGGAGCTTGGTTGAAAACAAAATGAAATGTACCACTTTCTTTATACACAATTGGGGTAAAAATATATTATTTATATTATATAGTAAGGGTCGTTTCTACAAGGGCTTTTTAACATTCTTTAAGTCTAATTAAAACCTATATTACAAAGTACTATCGTTCCTAGTAAAATACGAGTGTATGGAAGTAACTTGGGCTAATCCAGCTTAATGGCTCCTGATACCCCGCGCTAAAATGCTAGAGCCGACTCACCTGTCCGCCTTTTTGACACCTGACCACATGGCCGCGGAGACGGGCGGCATGAATCTCAAATTGCCGACCGGCGGCGAGGCGTAGGGTATTCCCCGGTACGCCTCCACCGGATCCAAGTGCCTTCCGTCTAATTGGACAATTACGCCCGATATGGCGCCATTGCGTGTGTTGATAATCCGCGAGGAGAGCTGGGCGGGTAATTGATCATGGTTCGGGCTGTAGTTGGAGTTCGAGTTCGAGTTGCTGGTATTGCTAGTGGGTCTTCCACTGCGGCTGCCATTGGATCCGCTGCTGCTCGTGGCGGATGAGGAGGAGGATGAGCTGCTGCCGGGGGACGACAAGCCCGCCGACGATGAAGAAGTGAGGGATAATGAGGGCACGGAACTGGAAGTGGCGCTGCTGGAGCCGATCAGCACGAGTCCGCCATTATTCACCGACGCGGGACTCTTTTGCGAAGTGCTCAGGTTGCCGCTGTTGCTGCTATAGCTAATGCCGGCTGCCGAGCATCGGGACACATATATGTCCAGGAGGACCAGAGCCAGCAGAGATGACCACGCCCACCCCGACCTCCTCCCCGTGGGCGGCACTTTCCGCCGCGTTCTCGTTGCTGCTGATGGCGGGAGTTGTCGATTGGAGAGCAGCATAACCATTATTATTATTGGTCAAAATGGCCACGTCGCAATGTTGTCGGTGTTTTTTCGACAACTTGATGTCCGACTGGTGTTTTATCTTTTTTCCGCTCTGCCCTTGTATAATTGACCACAAGTAGCTGTTTGTGGCGTGGCCTGGTTTCCGCTTTGCTTGTTTCAGCAAGTATTTTCGCTTTTTGCCTCCCGTATACAATTTTACTTTACAGCGATACTCTGTTGGGCTTGTGCAAAATATTATATGGCAGTTTCAGACAACTGGAATGAAAAAAGGGTTTGGTTAAAATTAATACGTTGGGGTCAATTATTCAACCATGAACAGAAAATTTGCGAAGCAACGAACAGATATACCACTTAAATGTAATTTTAGTTCAATTAAAATGTAATTTAGAGTGCTCAGAAGACGAAACTTGCTATATCTATAAATATATGGGTCCACTTCTGAAATGTGTTTTATTGCATTTTAATAGCTACGGATTGAACTGTTCTTCATCTACTACTCTTCATTCTTCTCTTCGGCTCTGGTTCTCTCTTCAGGGCAATTCAGTGAAGTGTGTTCGTTGAGCCAATTTCTTTCTGTCCTTTCTGCCGTTTTGTATTCTGACTCGGCATTTCCCCTTAATAGAAAGGCTCACGAAATGGATCAAAATGCCCCGCCCACTGCGTACTCGTCTTGCTATACCCGTTACTCGTGGGTTAGAGGGTATACTAGATTCGTTGGAAAGTACGTAACAGGTAGAAGGAGCGCTTCTGAACCTATACATATTTATATTCTTGATCAGGATAACTAGACGAGTTGATCTGCCCACTTTCTTTTCATTTTATAATTAGTTTGACCAATTGCAATGGGTATTTTACCACGCCCCTTCTAACGCGCAAGCCGCTAAAAACTGTCACGCCCACACTTTTGAAAACATTTTTGATTTCTTTTCATATTATTATTATTGGTTTTTTTCCAATTTTTAGCGATATGCCAAACGAATTTTGAAGTCTCTCGCTCGCACTTTCTTTAGCTGAGTAACGGGTATCTGATAGTCGAGAACGCGACTGTAGCCTTCCCTCTTGTTTTTCGGTATGTTTGCCAGCTGGAGCATCACCTTGTTTGCACTTGGTGTAGTGTCCTTGCCCTTGTTGTAGTTGACAAAAACAACATCCAAACGAAGGGGTTTTGTGGGTGGGCAGGCAGGGCAGTGGGCTGGGTTGGGTGGCCAGGACATTTGGCATTTTGCATATGCTAGACATGTCAGTCTCGCAGGCAGGCAGACCCGAGACTCCTGGCAACCGAGGGGAATGCCTACGTGGAATGACTAGGAAGTGGGCGATGGAGGCCATTGGTGCAGGGAACAAAGCTGTGGCCTTCTCATTGCCTGACTGACATTCGGTCATTGGATCAACAATGCAAAGAGTTGAACGAAGGACATGGGCGGCCCATTAACAGAATTGGCATAAGGCTTATTGACGGATTGGTTTTGGGGTTCTTTTCAGGCCGTTCAAAGCATTATATTTCCTTTATATATATGTTATATAACTAACACATAATGCAAATTAAATAATTCAATAATATTTATAATAATTTTATTAGAGACATTTTCTTATAACTTCATTTCTGCGAAAATCCCCCAACATTGATTCTTCTACGAGGAGTAATTCCTTGCTTTCTTGAAGGTTCTACTTATGGCGTGAGAAAGGTGTTCCACTGTCTTATAAGCCGAAAAGCAGTACGTTGTCCCCAGAAACCTTATTTTTTCGGAGGAAGAGGGCATTTTTATTCAGCTGGCACTTACTTATTCCGTGCGTTGGCTCTTCTGCTGTCTGCGGCTCGAGTGCAGGTGCTAAGCCCTCCCGTCGTGCATGTGCGCTGGAAGTCGGGTGTGGGATGTTCTTGCTCCTGCCGCAGCGCGTCCTGTTCGTCCTACTCCCGCTCCTTCTCGAGAATCACTTCACGTACTGCTCGCTCAGTCGCGTCGTCTGCTGCTGCTGCTGCTGCTGCTGCGTTTTCTGAATGCCGGCACGCTACAATTGTCATGCAAGCTGACATTCTCCTCGGAGACGTTCAGGTACTCAGCGATGAACAGGATTCGGAGAAGGAACACAAGGCGCTGGCCGACTGCTGCTGGGGCTCCAGTTGGCGTCCTTCCATCGCGGATTATGCTGCAATCAGATCAGAGAGATGGCACACTTTATTAGACCTTTCATTCCAGCCCATGTGGCACTTGAACAATGCTAGTAATTATCCGGCACGAACCATTTGCGTATTTAGAGGCAAAACTGTTTGCCTAGATATCTAGTAAATATACTGAACTGTGCTGAAGAATACATATTTTACTTTTTCTTAGTTAGGCAAGCAAAACGGAATTTATGTTGCCCTGATTTTCATTAAATTCCTAAATCTTTCGATTGATTAATAAAGGTTTTGTTAGCTAATAATTAGCATGAGCACTACGAAACCAAAGTACACTTATTTCCGTAGGACGAGCGAGCTATCTGCAGGGTATTAATTGAATCACAGACTCGGAGCCGGTGGAACATTTTAATTATGTGATGCCCTTAAGTGTAAGTTAATTATTATGCAGATCATTAGCAAAGTAATTAGACCCGGCTGCCGCCTCGCCTATAATCCTCGGCTCACTAGTTGAATTAATTGTATTCCTGGAAATTGAGTTATTCCCGCATTCCATCAAATCATACCGCTGGCGTTCGCTGGATTGTTGATGCTTTTCATTTATTATGCGAGCTTTGACTACATTTCCCGCATATAATTTCCCCCAGGCCAGGACCGGAAAGTCGAATCACATAAGTAAACAGGGGGCAGGCCAGAAGGGATTTTAGAGTGCGAGTTCCTTAGTTTGCTCAACAAATAACATCGTCAAGTTGTCCGCAGAAGTAGTGACTTTACTTAACTTCACTGCGGCCCACTCTCTGGTAAACATTGTAAATCATACGCACTGTTGCAAAGGCGCTTTGTTTTATTTTGCTATTGTGAATGAGTTGAGAGCCGTCACACTGCGGTGGAATCCTCAAGTTAAACAGTGTGACAAATGTACAAATATCCATTTAGTCGACCAACAGCTTTAACATTTCCGTGCCCCGCTTACTTTCTTGCTATCTGAGTATAATTGAAGGAAGTCTAACTAAGATTCAGGCCAAACGCACTCGAAATCTCTGTGTGCACAATAATGCTGCTTGTTACATGACAGGAAAAACATCTCAAACTTTGCTGATTCTTTCCCAAAATTCTTGGCGAACTTTTGGACTTAAAACAAAAAGTTGTCAAAAGTTCAAATTTGTATACAAGTATTTGGAACGACTTTATTCACATTTGTAATTTGTATCTCGGTTCTCGCAGAGATAATTGGATTCGAGAGTGTCTTCATGTTGTTTGCCTAATTTAATTGCAAATAAACGAAACGAAATTCCAGTTTGTGAAATACTTTTGCTTTAATTAAAAATCAAAACGCGATAAGCGGCCCAGGGAATTGCTATGGAAAACGTTTTATCATGGAAAGCCGGTCGGGAATAACATCTCCAGCAAAAGCAAGCAGTAGTCTCTTGACTTTCCAACTGGCCGCAATTTCCGCCTGCCGCAACTTTTTCTGAGCTCTTTGCTCCATAAATTCCGCGCCAGCTAGGCGGAGCCTCCGCATCCGCATCCGCACTCGCACTCGCATCCGCATCCTCAGCTCCAGCTATTTCACCCGGTCCAAGGGTCATTAATTTGTCTTTTGAGGTGGGGCGAGGGTGGATGAAAGGGCATTTTGGACGAGGAGCAGTCGCTGCCGCCGAGGTAGTAAACTGCTTAAGTAGCACAGCTAAATTAAGAATTGTGGGCCAAGCAATTAGAAAGGGGGCAGCAGGCGGCTTGCCCACAATGAGCATAGAGTTCAAAGTTGGTCAATCCCAAGGTGCAATGTATATTTGTTTGCCTCGATTTCTCGGAATCTATCTGCTCCAAGGGATACTGCAAGTTTGATAAAAGCAGACGAGTCATGGAGAAGAGCTTCAATCCGATGTTTTGGGATTGATAACAACTAAGTAGTTTGTTTCAAAAATAATAGTGTTTGTATTTGTAGCATTGTAACACTTCTTAATCGTAATATAAGTTTTAAAAGTTCCTTTTTAGTTGGTAGAATTGAATCTATCTCTGTGTGACCAACTAAGTTGAATTTGTTGAAAGACATAAATATTCAACGTTCCCGCTGTGGCCGTATGTGTAAAGAAATAGCTTTATAGAATATCGATTGGAACGTTCGCAGTCATGTAGTTCCGGAAATTTAATCAGTTTTGGTGCTTAACCGAGTTGTGGAAGCAACCCAAACGAAATATAAAAAGAAATCCAGACCCAAAGGCAAAGGAATGGCAGAGAAACTGATAGAGGATAGGGAATGGGAAGTGAAATTGTTTAGCAGTTGTCTGACTGGAAATGGAAATGAAAATGTTTCTGACTTACTTGCCCTGGCATTGTTATTTGAGTTTATTGAAATGACTGTCTTGCCTTGCCTTGCCTAAGTGGGTATGAAAATACCCGTGTAAAGTCAGGAAAACTGAAGAGGAGATAGTGTATTATGGAAATGCTTTGTGCGAGACCCCTCAGCATCGACTGTCTGGACTTTTTATTATAATTATTTTAGTAAATATCTGGGACCACAAAGGGTAAACTAACAGTTTCCAACACATCACAGCAAGGACCACTATTGTTCTTGCAAAAAGGTCCGTCCGATAAAACGAAAAGAGACCAAAGAGGAGACAGATACTCGGACCAACTCAAACTGCAATTTTTCATGCAAATTTATGCAAAAATGTGAGAAATTCGCTTCAAGAAAATATGAGCGAAAAATGCAATCTGCAAAAGAGTTAACCAAAAGAAGAACGAAAAAAAGAAGAACGCAGATTTAAGTGGGTGGAGAACTTTTCAAGTGATGGGAAATAATGCGACTTTTTAACTACGTTTTAGTTTAGCCAAATGCATTTTGCATGCCAGAGTTCGTCTCTTGATAATAATATCCGAGAAAAACTGTCTGACTTTTTATCTGCCTCTCTTCATTGCCTTAATGGGCAGCCTCTTTTTTGCTGCGATTTAGCTTTCATTATGTTGGCTATCCAACAAACAAAGGCTTATAATTTTTTGCTCGCCCACGTCCTTTATTTATGTATGCAAGTGCACAACTACTCGGCCCAATGACTGGAATCCGCCCTCTGCCACCAAAATGGCCAAAACAATGGCTTACACAACAGCGAGGGAAGAAATTAAACTGCCTTTCATCACAAAGAGCGCAACTGAGAGTCAACGAGAAGAAAATAGCAAACAATATCTGCAAAGTAGTGGGGATAAAAAGTACTGTGCGCGAATTATAATACATCTGCATTTTAAAATGCAAATAAAACGGGGAGTTTGTGGCCTGCGGCTTAAAGCAGCTCGAAACTGTATTTAATATTACCATAAATGATTATGTAACTGAAATATGTGAAATATTTGCGGCAATGGAAGATTGTTGTTAACCCTATGCAAATGGCGCACTTTTTATTTTTTTGGCCCGTTATTATATGAATTATTATTAATTATATGAGTTGTTTCCTTGTTTCAATAGGCAACATGCAAGAAGAGTAAGCTTAAGTGTAATTATAATGGTAGCTTTGCAATTTTAAACTTTGCACTGAACGCAATCAGAAAATGTTTAAATTATGCAAAGTTCAACGTTAGGAATTCTCCTAATGATATACACATGTATCTATCCTTGGGCCGAACATTAGCTACAGCAATAAATTTTTCGCACAATTGGGTCCGGCAAATGCATGGAAAATTAATTTTCCTCGGATTTTACAATTCTCTTTTCATTCATGACATAAATAAAGCGCTTGCGGCTAACAAATTTCGAAGGCAAATTTTCGACGCAGTTGGAAATAAATTATCGTTTAATATTGGCAAATAATGCGATACCAGGGGATTCCAGCCTCTCTTCCCAATCATTCCTGCGCTTTTCGGCCCTGCCAGAAACTCGCAAATTGAATTCGTTAGTCGGCGTCGCATGAAATAATTTTGCCTTGGGGGGTCACCAACAGCAAATGACGAAATAATGATATTAAAGCAACATTACGCCATTACGTAGCAACACACATGCAAAAATAATTGACGACAATGACGCAGGCAACGTTCATCGGCAGGCGAAGACATTGCGCATACGCCCCGTAAGCCAGACCAAATAATGAGGGTAGAGGGCGCGGCAGGCAGAGTTGGCAAAGTCAAGAAGTGGAGGAGGCGGGAAGCTAAAAATTATCATGGCAAGGGATGGCAATTGCGTAACCTGTAAGATTATTTTAGCACAGCGTTAATATAAAGCACTATAACTAAACCTAAACAGGCTTCAAATTTGCTGCATTATTAGCACTTTTGCCATTTAAATAACATATTCCTAGGGCTTTTACTATGTGGTTTAAGCCTGTGCGCATATTTGGTTTTTCAGAATTTTTAAAGCCGAACAGAACAGCACACAGAAAACATTACTTTCAAAATCGCAATCTCTAACCGACATTTCTAATCCTTATCAGCCCGCTGCTCTATCACACCTAAGGCAACACACCCGCACGCAAATCAATTTGCACCGCACACGCCGAAGGACACAAGCCCTAAATATTCATCCCGACTGAGCGCGTTAGTCTTAATTAATTTCCACCCACGACAAGCAGCGTCCTTGGCTTTGTGCGGGATTACTTTTGGTAGTTGTGGCATGGAACTAGGTGCTGTTTGGGGTATTTTAATGACGTTTTCATAAGCAGTCGGCGTCGTTCTGTGCTTCTTTTTCGTGTCTTTCAATGCGTTCCTAATTCCATTTTATGCCGTGAGACGCGGCCTTCATTCTGCGTATTTGTTTTGTTTGGCCGAAATGGCAGATAAAATAATTTATTGGGTAAAAATCGTTGGCCAAGAGCTAAGCGCTCTGGTTTCCCCGGCTTCGCTTTGCTCCTGCGTTGTCCTCGCTTTTGTCTTTTGGCTCATGTTATCTGCAATGGAATATCTATTTGGCCATCGCTTTCGGCCCTTCCATAATGTTGGCGCCATGTTGATGTTATCTTAGCGGAAGTGTTGACTCAATGTTTACTCAATGAGGGCGTTGCTGGCGCGATATGACAACGGGTCCTTAGTCCTTTGGGCTTTT